AATGATATTTTTGTGATAAAAATAGCCCTTTGAGCAAAAAAAAAACTTTTCCTCCTCAGTTGAGGAGGAGGATCCTCCTCGCTCTCCTCCTCCTCCTCATTTTCCTCCTCACCATTCCTCCTCCTCAGAGGAACAATCCCTGATTCTATTAGTTTATATATACTATAAATCTGCAATGTATTCGGAAAAAACCACATAACAAAGATAGAAGAAGAAAAAAAAGGATGAAAAGCCTCCTTTGTTTGAAAGAATTATTTACCTTCTATTGAAATCAAAAGATTTTGCTGTTACCCTTCAAAGTTTCTCTTCATATCAGTGCGAATGTTTTAATTAAGGCAAAAAATATTTATCAAAAAAAGGAAATAAAAAGAAATCTCACCAAAAAAAGGTGCATTTAAGAAGAATGGAATTAAAGTCAAATATATACAATAAGAAAACTTTTACATTCCTTCAGTGTCATTTGAACTCTATGCTCTGTAATCGTTTTTAATTTATTATAATACAAATATGCACAGTTTTTGTGGTCATGGTTTACTGTTCAAATTAAACTGAGGAAAATCCTAGAATGATTACACAGTACTCCTCCTATCATCTTTAAAATTGTGCAATTTTCATATGAATGGATAATAGATTTCTCAGTATTTAAATATTTGTTACAAGATAAAATAAATCATTAGATTATCAAAGAAACAAAAAAAATGTATACGCTTTGAGTCGATTTATTTTCAGAGAAGTATTATATAAACATCATCAAATTCGTGTTGCGTAAGTAATTTGTCGTCGAAAATACGATTTCAAGAAATTGTTGGATGGATTTGACTGCAAAGTTCACAAAATACAACAACTGGACGATTTTTTTTTTACAATTTCATTTTATTGAATTTTGGTAAATAATAGCTACATTTGCAGGTGTAATATTTCTTAATTTGATTCATTTGAACGTTTTTTTCCTTTTAAGACACACATGTTGTTTGAGCTGCATTTGTATATGCAAGGCATTAAGCATAATTAATAATTAATTTTAAAGCTTGCCGTTTACATTTCTCTCTTGCGGTTGATTCGTTTTAATTAAATTGGGTGTTCATTTTATTCTTTGTTTTGTGCGTTTTTGATATGTTTTCATTTCTCTTTTCATTGTTATTGTTCAAAAGTATTTAGCAAAATATTCTATATCAAAAATGAATATATGAAACGATTGAAGCATATTATGAAGATGATTAAAAGGGTTTAAGGCAGGTCTTTTCACAGGTGATTTTTCTAAAATTGATACAAATCGCGTGCATAATATTTATTGGATGGAAAAACGGCCAGTTCACGTAATTTTCATTTGGTTTCTTCTCATATTTTAATATTTTGTTAACTTAATCTTATCCTAATTAATATTGGTGCAAATGATTGCTAATGATAAATTTCAGTGCCAAATATATGAGTTTTTCTTGTAATTTTTTTTCTATAAAAAAAGAACCGAAGGAATACCAAAAACAATCTAGCCAGTTCCTAAAGAAACACTTTTTTCGCGCAGTGAATAAATAGTAGTTTGAATCGATGATGAAGGTATAAGGTAAATTAATGTCATTTTTGGTTTTTCAAAACCGTATTTTTGTATTTCACTTAGTTTTCTGTGCTCTACAAAGTGAAGTTTTAGTTATTACTTTTTTTTCTACTAACGCTTAAGTTGATCATAATATTATTCATTACACTATTCGTGTGCAATAATTCATCAAATTCTATCTTAGTACTGTTACTTGAAACTAATACAATTAAATCATAAATATCTATTCTCTCTCTTCATTGTGATACAAATGAGAGACTTCTAATATACTTCGAATATTACTGAACATCGCATTTAAAATAGTGAAATTCTTGTGTTGTTTAAATTCAATCGCTCACTCATACTTTGTCTCAAATCGATTGTTAAACATAAACAATGTGATTTAATATGAGAAATGCAAAGAAATGTTTGTTTCTCTGAAAATAATATTACATCCTATAATATTTCTAAATCTTTTCATTTTAAATTGTTAATACTACCGAAAGTTAAGAACATTTGAGCCAAAAGTCTTAATATTATTCACTTTTAGATAACATTGTTTTTCTTTCTAAAAATCTATATTTTGGTATGATTAATTGCTTCGATTAACTTTCATCTCAACTGGAAATGAACGGCAATTGGTAGATACGAGACGTCGTAGAATAAAAGAATATGATCTGGTTTCATGAATCATAAACAATTCTTATACTTTTATTGGATGGTTTCTGTCACCCATTGAATTTTTCATCGATTCATGACCAATATTTTGCATTTGGATTTGTGTAATTCTGTTGCATTTGACTGTATTCATTTGGTGGACCGTATACTTGATGTCCATACATTTGATTCCAATTTGACTCGGACATATGTTCGGTATATGATTTGATTGCCGTTGGCAATGTGGACGATGGTTGGGCTGGAAGTGAAACGGCCGTTTGTTGTGGTGGCGGTGGTGTTGATGTTGACATTTTTATTTGATCGGTTGGATATTTGTAGTCTTCATTTTTCAAGCTCGTTCCATAATCGAGCGATGGTTGAAAATGAACTGATCCGGAATAATTTTGTGGCATTAAGCCGGTATTGTGATGAAAACTGGCTCCGTATCCAGTGTGCTGTGATTGTTGCACCAAATGATCATAATGTGTTGGTATTTGATGTACATCCGTTTGATTTGGATTACTTAAATTCGCCGAATATTGTGGCATTGATAGAGCTGACATTGGTGGTGCCATGTTTGATATATTATTGGAACCCGTGTGCTTACGCAATCGTGCACGACGATTACTGAACCAGACCTGTGTAATTTTTTGATATTTATATTTGGTTTTATATTTCAATATTTGGAATATGCAGACTTTTGTGGCCTGCTTTAAACATACATCGGATTTCGAAATATTATTGAAATGTATACCTGAATTCTGGCCTCAGTGAGGCCAGTAGATTGAGCCAACTCTTCGCGTGTGTACACATCCGGGTAATGAGTGCGACTAAATGAACGCTCCAAAGCATCTAATTGTTCACCAGTGAATGTGGTACGTGATCGTCTTTGCTTCCGTTTTAATGGAATGCCCGGCTCCGATTCCGTATCGCTTGATGAATCTGAACTACGACCTGAAATAGAAAAATTCAAAATTAGAAACACCACATTTTTTTTAAATTTTCATTTCACATGAATCACGAAAAGTTAAAAGTTTCCTGATCGAAAACAACAAGGAAACAAACGAATTAAAAATAATAATGTTTCTGCTGCAAAATCACTTTAATTGCTATTAAGCCTAGGGGGGAGACACCCGCGAATCCATTCACCTTTTGTGTCGGATTTGTACGATTAGTATGATTACAAAATTTTACAAAGATTCACATTCGATTCAAATTTTTGATTTAAATTGCTATGATTCCAATGATTTGCACAGATTCACAGATTCGTAAAGATCCACAGATTCATTAAATATTCACATTTTTGTGTTTTTTCTTTTGACGTACAAACGTATGTTTATTTTATAGAAAATAAATATGCTAGCAAATATAAATTAAAATAAAATTCAATTATTTTTGTTTATGCAATGATTTCATTTTTACCGACTTTTAACAATGGAATAAAATTTAACTCAACAATCAACACATTTTATATTATTGACAAAGTGACTTTGTCAAAGTCCCAATGATTCATGAGATTCTTCGGATCCTTCGGATTCTTCGGATTTGTGAGTTTTGTGTTTTTTATTATAATTCTAATGGAATCGTTGGAATCAATGAAATTATACAATTGAGTATTTTAATATAGATTTTTCATTTTGAATTGGTGTCTACCCCCTAGTTTTAAGCGCAGTCTATTAACATTGAATGGTTAAATTGATATAGTTTTCATTATATGGATAATATCAAACACATGATGCTGTCTATCTTTGACGCAAATTTAAACAAATGCAAACATTCAATTTTCCAAGCACCATTCACATAAAAGCATCTAACGCGCGCTCAAGCACGATGAGTCGATACAGTCAGTGCTGTGTTTCACTTAAATTATTGCATTATGAACGTTGCATTTATTTTATGATTGCATGTACAATATACACGCCAGATTTTAATTTTTTTTTATTGCAATTGCCATTTACTTTTATTAGTATGTTAGCATTTGACTGTGTTTCGTTTTATTTTTTACGAACATGAAATGCTTGGTGTATTTTTTATTCTTCTGAAAATAGAGACGTTCAATCTATGTATATACTTTCACTGGTACGCGAATGCGGTGCAACATGTTCAATTGTTTGATGATTACTTTTTATTATTCGGTATATGTGCGTGTTTTTATTCAGTTTTGTTCTGTGATCGCAAGCCACACTCATTTCTCACCACTTCAATCGAACAATCGTTAAATGTAACATCCTTTTGTGTGCAATGTGGAAAATGTATCATTAAACCTTCGCATTTATTAAAATTGGAATACACATTTAGCGTCAGCATCATCACCGTTCTCCATCATCATCGAAAGTTCGCACGAGAAAAGAAAAAAAAACGCTAGCAGAAAATCGAATTGAAATAATTTGCCATTCGTTGCCACCCACATCTTTTAACCATTGCATTTTAAACCAAAGAAGAAGAAGAAAAGAACAGAGTTTTACGAAATGACAGCGAAAAGTGAATTGGAGTCATTTCCATTGTTATTTTCAAATCATACGAATTAATAGAAGAGTTGAAGCGGATTTTTAAAAATAACACTCTATCATTTTTGAGCATTTAAAGCGATATTCATCAGCGATGTTGACGCAAACATGGCAACATAATATATAAGAATCATTTTTCGGGTAAATTACCCCAAATCAATATTATTTTTTTTTACTAATTTCTTTTCATCTTATGTGTAACATCATTTTTTTCAATGGAAAGGTTTATCAACTCTGAGTGGGTTCTTTTTTCATCTTGGTGAAAGTATGAAAATCATCATACATCAAAACGTCATACACACAGCAAAACCATGATTAATTATAATTATAGAATATACGGTATCAGCAGAATTTAAAAAGGGACGCAGTCTCAGACGTCTGCACTTCATCAATGGCTCTAATTAAATGGAAATATGAAGTATACGGTAGAGTGTGGAGTTTCAAAATGAAATTGCAATCAAAATCGAATGCAAATAATGAGATGAACACAAAAGTGAGTGAACGCTTTCAACAAAAGCCGATGACTAGAATATAAAAAAAAAAACATAAATAAATAAATAACATGCGTAAAAATTACAATTTAAAATGAATAACAATATTAGTATTAAGAAGCGATTTGAAGTAAAAGAGCTCTCTCTCTCTTTCTCTCTCTGTTTCGACCGAGTTTTTTTGCACACACAAACACGCAAAAAGAGAAATAAATTCTTTGCTCTCAGTCCATCAAACGTAGCTTATGAGTTGGCTGCATATAAAAATGGATTTTATCACTCGATCCAATGTAAGTCACGTAACATTCTCGCTGACTCTCGTATGCGGTGCGTCATGCATAAGAAACCATACACATTCGATGTGTATGATTTGGTTTCATTGTTTCAATGCTCTTTTTCTTGAGCACCAATTCCCTTGACTCAAGATCTTTTGTTCATTTACGCGCGCACGTAAATTTTTCCATCTGACTTTATTATTATGAGTTGTGGCGGTACTTCACATCATACCGCAACTAATCCCATCGGTTGTTACCAGAAGAAACTTAAACGTATACACGCGTTACAAAACGAAATCGAAGGATTTCAATCGATTCGCAGACATACTGACGATAGCCTGAGAAAAATTTTCAAGTACCAAAGAAGACGATACACACGATGAAGTTCATGGCAGACCGGAATGGAATATGAATTCAATGAGTGATTTGATGACGAGATTTTCAACGCACACTCACATACACAATATCATCGGCTAGCACTTTCCAACTGGCAGTTATTTTGAGTCGAAGGGCCAAACCAAATCGAAAGATGCATACCATTCGCTTGTGCCATTGAGAACATAATGATATACATACTGTATAACGTATTACTGTCAAATCGGAATTATTGGCAAGAAACATTCAAATCTTTATTCATTTGTAATGCCCGAATGTAACTTGCTCGAACAAATGGTGCGTGGGCGACTTTTATATGTAATCTATGTGTTTTTATCGTTGTTACGTGTGTTTATTAATAAATTTTATTCAGATTAAAGAGCCCAAAGTATGTTAACATTTTATCTTCCCTTCCAAAGCGGAAATTAATTGGTTTTTTTCGGTTACAATCAACTTTTCCGATTTGATAAGGATGCGAAAATGTCCAATTTTTGTGTGTATATACTTTTGTGGGGGGGGGGGGGGTGGTTGTTGGATTGATTGTCATTTGATTGTTTGACTGATGACAGAATAGCTTGAAATATTTTGCTTATTAAATCGGCAACATCAATCGTTCAACGCGAACGACAAAAAGAATCCACCGTAAAATCCATCAAATTACATTTTATTTCAATAGTCGTTTTGTGCTGTTACTTCAGCGAACATTTGCCGCATGACAAATCTAATCGAATGCGCCCAAAAAATACTAACAGTAACAACTAACTAACAGTACGAGTATTCATTTTATTATTTTGTTTCGGCTTCTTGTTGTTCATAATTCCTTTCCATGAGTCCTATCGATATTTGAAGAAGAAAAACAAATTATTTCGGCACTAATTTTATACGACATTGGGTGCTATATTCCGCTTAATGTTTCACCGTAAAACTATTAAAACCGATTTTTTTTTGTTGTTTTGGTCCATTGAAAACCATTTCATAGTCATTTGTAACACAGTTAAAGAAAAATCTTTAAAATCATCGAATAGAAATTATTGTCGGCAAACATTTTGTAACCGAAATGTTGAAATCAAATCATGCAATAAAATCATGTCGTTTTGTTTTGAAGTATTCAAGCTAAAAGTGCGTTTGTTTTAAATTTCTTTGAAATTCTTTTGAGGAATGTATTGTTGTGTTTAGCAAGTTCAATTAAATTGATTATCAATAACAAAATGAATGGATCTTCCTTGGCTGATATCCCTTCTTGAATGTGCTTGACATTTAGTTCCCTCGAGGTGACACAGACTAACAAATAATATCACATCACTGAATGGATCCTTTTATTGCTTAATTGTCTCAATCATTGTGATTTATTACATACACATTTTTATTACTTCAACGAAACGTTTATGTTTTTTTTTTTAAGTTGGTTTATTTTTATTGTCAGTATTGCATGATAATGATTTTCTATTTAAAAAAAATGTTTTACTGTCGATATTTTTGCCGTAGCGCTTAAGAACAGTAAGAGTGTGAAAAATAGGCTCTAAAAACGATAACAACAATACAGCAAAAGTGACCAAAAAATTATGTTACTTTTTTGGGTTTGAATTGTTTATTGTGTGTGTCGGCGCGTTTTACCGAAATATGGACAAGCAACGTTCAGTTCGGTGTTTGTTGTGTCTTTTAAGACGATGATCTTGTATGATGAATAGCACAAAATTAAAGAAAATAAAAACACAGAACAGACAAGAATCTCATCATTTCTCGCTTTTCGAATAATATCAATTGTTTTCGGTTAAGTTGTTGTTTTTCCTTTATTTATTGTTTGCACCATACTATGAATTATACTTGAAAAAAAAATTTGTACATGTACTTCAAGTCGATCAAAAATCCAATCGAAATTTTGAAGGAATGACATATTCCTCTTGATGGATACATAAACACACAGTTACTGCGAAATTGTCAGTTCAAATCGCATGATCGATTCGATGTGGAAGATTTTCCAATATATACAGATTGATTGAATTCCCCAATTGAAGAGACTGATTTGATCACACACAAAAAAAATGACTTGCAATTACTTGACACTCGCAAGAGTATTTTGTGTGGTCTTTTGGGTGACACAGTCGTCAAAATTTGATGTTTAAAAGTGTCTATCGGTACATGAAAAAGAAATCTAAACGAAAAACATGATTGAAATCGTAAATAAATGGATAGAATTTGGTGATAACGCGATGGCAGCTGATTTTACTCGACCGTATCGAACGTATTTACCATGTGAATTTATTTCATGTGACATGGTTACAGCCTCCAATCACACCCTTATTCACGAT